CCTTGCCTTCGCTGCCCGCGGGAGTTTTTTTCAACACATATCACAAACACTGTACCTTCCAGAGAGAGACTTTCACAGATCTGAGAACGAAGAAGACAAATCTCCGGCGACTCACCCCACGGCGAAACCTCGCCGGTCCAGCCACTACGTCAGCTCCGCCATGCTCGGCCTTGTGGGTCAGATTCCGGCCAACACCATCGGAAACCTAACCCAACTCCGAATCCTCAGCCTCCGTGCCAACCGTCTCTCCGGTTCCATTCCCTCCGATTTCTCCAACCTCAAGCTCCTGCGAAGTCTCTACCTCCAGAACAACCTGTTCTCCGGCAAGTATGACTCGAACAATGGGTTTTCAGGTAGCAAACTACTACGAAGCGTCGTTAAGCTTCGGTGGAGAAGACAGCAACCTGGGTTAGCCCACTGCCGCAACTTAAGGCGCCGGCATCGTCGGCGTCACCGAAGACCGATGCCTCGTTGCTCACCGTCGGCGGCCACAGCTTCGGCTAATGTTGGTGTCGCGACAGCTTCGGCTATCACCGGCTGCACTCGTTATGTTATCTATGTCAAGAAGGGAACCTATAAAGAAAACGTTGTGATTGGGAGTAGTAAGAAGCTTATTATAATGGTGGCCTGCACTCTGCTCTGTTTCTTTTATGATAATGGTGGGGACAAGACCCGCCAAAAAAAAAACATTTTTTTTTTTCTGCGGCTGCCACATCACGAGCATGGCCTGGCCCTGGTGGGTGATGTGGTTGCCTTTAACGTCACTGCTACCACACTTTACCTCTCTCTTTTCCTTTTGCCAGTTTGAACTCACGTGGGTGGTCCTTTTGGCACACGGTTTTGATCAAAACAAGCATCTAGTTTCAAAGGATTAAATATATTATATAAATTTTTTTATTTTAAATTATTCTCCACCCACAAACACAATCATCCTATTCTTCAGCTTTTACTTTTCTTTTCTCTCCCACCAACACATCTTTTCCATCCATTCCCACCACACCTTTTTTCGTTTTTAATATTTCCACCTTCGCTTCTTTTCTTTCTTTCCTTTTCTTTTTATTTATTTCTTTATTTATTCATCTGTCCCAGCAAAATAAAATAAAATAAAATAAAAATTAAATACATAAATAAATAAATAAATAAAAAAAAAAAACAAAACCAAAACATCACATCCCTACAATCCCTACAACTCCATTAGAATTCTTAACTTATAACTATGAAATATTTTTGCTTTATATATAATATAGATAGATAGATAAATACCTGTTGCCCCAATAATGGGGAAACCTCCACCAATTCCAGGGGAATCTCCTGCACCTCCAACATGATTATCCATATCTGATGAAATATCAAATAGTAGCATGTAGTAACTATACAACTTCTAATATGAAATAATGTATTAAGGATATTTGCTAAACAATATAAACGTTAAACCATGCACCTTTTAGATAATAACAGAATATATTAAAATTTTTAAATTTATTTTGTTAAAGGGATCTATAAGGGGTTTTTTTTTTTTTATAATTTCTCCTTCGTTTTTTATGGATGGGGAAACTATACAAATTGGGTAGACTACTTAGGTATTACTATACATAAGATATGTATATATTTGATACTCTTAAAATCATTTGAAATACCAAACAACCAAGCAAAATCTCGTTTATATTATATATGGGAAATACAATAAATGTAACGCCCTCAAAATGATAACATTAAACCCATTAAATAAGATTCATTAACATATGAAATAACCACATTCTTCCATTTATCAGAATTCCATTACATAAGTATTACATGTTAACAACAAAAGCAAAATGCCCTACGGGCTTACAGCTTTCCAAGCTAACACTTGGTTACATCAAAAGAGTACTAACTCAAACACATTAAGCCCTTGGCTTGAATTTACATGTAATGCATCAAAAAGTAAATCAACAAAAGTATGTCCGCCTCTAGCCTCCCAAGCTATGTCCTTGGAGGTGGCTTGCTACCTGTACCTGAAAATGATATTCCCATATAGGGTGAGCCACAACCCAGTAGAAATACACTAAACCAACCATGAACAATGACTAAAATATTAGCAATTGATAGATGGCCAACACTGATACATTCACATAAATCACATATTTATGTCATACGACTTATGAGTCCAAGTTACCTTTCATTTTCCCTTTTTCAACAGATAAGCATATAAGCTATATCCACATTCTTAACAGATATGTATAACAACAATATCCCACATTCACAGATAAGCATATGAGCTATATCTACACTTCACACAGATAAGCATATGAGCTGTATCTACACTTCTCTAGACAAGCGTATGAGCTGTATCTTCGGAGTTCACCCCCCATCTCCTCCCAATCCTATCCGATTTAGAGGTACATCCCCCATCTTACCCTAAACCGCGGAGTACATCCCCCATCTCCTCCTCTACACATATCGTATACAAACACATTGGTTCTATATACATTCATTCAATACAGGTAATTTATGTATTCTGTCAATCGTCAAATTTCATGACACATTCCATTGATTAGTTTTCGTTTGCCTAATCATCATGCATTGTCTACAACAATCACGACTATCCTCCACCGATAGCCCAAAGCAGTTATATCTAAACAGAAAATAAATGCACATTGGATATTTAATCAACATTTCATTCCGGTGAGTGACAATTAATTCAACTACACCCTTTCACCCTTTACATTCCCAATCTCATCAATTTCATTTCATCTCCTCATTTCTCACAATTAATTATCTTAATTAATCAAACAATGTAATTAGGTCATTTCCATAATTAACATTTCAACCCTTAGGTCCCATTTTCATCAATGATACAACACTTATTCCATTTCTCCATGCCAAACATGCATCTAGGTTTATTATGAATAAAACCCCAACTTTTGTAAAATTGCAAAATAGCCCCAATCTTTCACAAAATTACCCAACCAACACCAACATCTCAAAATACTAAAATTTAAAGACAAAACCCATAGAGAGGAGTAGGATATCCCTACCTCAAATTCGGAACCCCAAGGGAGAAGATGACATAATCCAACGTGCTCCAAAACCCGAAATTTTCAGATTAAAATGTAGCCCTCGATGATCAACAACTTTTTTGTAAAGGCCAAAGATGAGCAAATCACTCCTACTAGATCAAAACCTAGAGAGAAGGTAGAGTTCTAGAGTGAGAGGCTCAACAATGGTGTTTTTTGAAAAGTAGGAGAGAGAAGAGAAAGTGAAAAAGTGACTTGAAAAGCCAAAACACGGAACTAAAACCCAGTCGGCCCGCTCGAGCGTAACTCACTCCGCTCGAGCGTAACTCACAGACTCCCGCTCGAGCGCCAACAATCCCGCTCAAGCGGCGAATACACACTCCCAGAACTTCTGCAGAACCAGGCCTCCGCTCGAGCTCCCAACTCCCTGCTCGAGCGGCACTCACGTAACCCCGCTCGAGCGGCCAATACCACGCTCGAGCGTCCAACACTGCACAGGAAATACTGGATGGGTGCAATCCCCGCTCGAGCGCCAATACCCCCGCTCGAGCGGACAGGTCAAAATCTGGGCAACTAGTTTTGGTTTCTAAACTCAACCAACCTGTAACAAACCTGCCCAACACATCCTATAACTCAAATACGAAGTAAAAATGATGTAAACAAGATAATGATCAACTACCAACATCCACGGACACATGTCCGGATCACTGTACAACAAGGGTAAACCCGGGATCGCTATAACCTCCCCCCCTTAAAGAATTTCGTCCCCGAAATTAAGCACAAGTTTTCAAAACAAGTTTTTTTTTTTTAAACAATGTTACACTAGAACATTCAACAATTCGACCCATTACCGGTCATCTCATCCCTTTAACAAGAGATATATCCCAATGTGTAAACAACATATGTATTTTCAACATGCATTAACATTATGCACTAACTTTCCAATGTCAATATTATAATCAACATATATAATGTTACATTCAACTTCCATATGAGGCAAGTTCCGAAAACATACTTCCAATAAACCAAACATTTTCAATGTTTCACAACTTATTTTTGTTTTATATATAATATAGATAGATAGATAAATACCTGTTGCCCCAATAATGGGGGAACCTCCACCAATTCCAGGGGAATCTCCTGCACCTCCAACATGATTATCCATATCTGATGAAATGTCAAATAGTAGCATATAGTAACTATACAACTTCTAATATGAAATAATGTATTAAGGATATTTGCTAAACAATATAAGCGTTAAACCATGCACCTTTTAGATAATAACAGAATATATTAAAATTTTAAAATTTATTTTGTTACAGGGATCTATAAGGTTTTTTTTTTTTTTTTTATAATTTCTCCTTCGTTTTTTATGGATGGGGAAACTATACAAATTGGGTAGACTACTTAGGTATTACTATACATAAGATATGTATATATTTGATACTCTTAAAATCATTTGAAATACCAAATAACCATGCAAAATAATATATCTCGTTTATATTATATATGGGAAAGACTATAAAAAAAAATTTCATAACCAATCATTATACGAAGTATAACCAAATATTTTAAAATAATGTCATGACTAAATAAATAAATAAATTGTATAATTAAGGGTGCATATGATATATAGATGTGTATTTGAGAATTCTCCACTATATATAGACATTCTCAATACAGTCTCAATCTTACGTGTTTTTAAAATTAATATTGACCTCATTTAAAATTTATTTGTATTTAGTTTTCAATTGCTAAAATTTTCTATGTAACGCCCCCAAAATAATAACAATAAACCCATCAAATAAGACACGCATTGACATATGAACTAGCCACATTCTTTTATTCATTAGAGTCTCATTACATAAGTATTACATGTTAACATCAAAACAAAATGCCCTACAGGCTTACAGTTTTCCAAGTTAACACTTGGTTACAACAAAAGAGTACTAACTCGTTTACACATTAAGCCCTTGGCTTGAAGTTACATGTAATACATCAAAAGTAAAACAACTACGCTATGTCCGCCTCTAGCCTCCCAAGCTATGTCCTTGGAGGTGGCATGCTACCAGTACCTGAAAATGATATTCCCATATAGGGTGAGCCACAGCCCAGTAGAAATACACTAAACCAACCATGAACAATGACTAAAATATTAGCAATTGATAGATGGCCAACACTGATACAATCACATAAATCACATATTTATGTCATACAACTTATGAGTCCAAGTTTCCTTTCATTTTCCCTTTTTCAACGGATAGGCATATAAGCACTAACCACATTCTCAACAGATATGTATAACAACAATATCCACAGATAAGCATAAAAGCTATATCCACACATCACAAAGATAAGCATAGAAGCTCTGACCCTTCCTCAAAAGAAAAAAAAAAAAAAAAACCAAAACGACGTCATTTTGGGGTCGAGCCACAATAAAAACCGTCAAATTCCATGACACATTCCATTGATTAGTTTCCGTTTGCCTAATCATCATGCATTGTCTACAACAATCACGACTATCCTCCACCGATAGCCCAAAGCAGTTATTTCTAAACAGAAAATAAATGCACAAATGGATATTCAATCAACATTTTATTTCGGTGAGTGATAAATAGTTCAACTACACCCTTTAACCCATATATTCCCAATCTCAACAATTCCATTTCATGTTCTCATTACTCGCAATTAATTATCCCAATTAATCAAACAATGTAATTAGGTCAATACCCATAATTAACATTACAACCCTTAGGTCCCATTTTTATCAATGATTCAACATTTATTCCATTTCTCTATGCTAAACATGCATTTAGGTTTATTATAAATAAAACCCCAACTTTTGTAAAATTACACAAAAGCCCCAAACTTTCACCAAATTACCAAACCAAGCCCAACATCTCAAAATGCTAAAATTTAAAGACAAAACCCATAGAGAGGAGTAGGGTATCCCTACCTCGAAGTTTTAGCCAAAAAGGAGATGAAGACCCGAAGATCAACGTGCTCCAAATCCAAACTTTTTCAGATTAATTCGAAGCTCTCAACGCCCTCTATCTTTTTAACAAAGGCCCTAGGCTAGATTCACACCCTAGGGAGATCAAATCTTAGAGAGAGTGTAAGTTTGGAGAGAGAGGGTCTCGGATCAAGGGTTTTAAAGAAAAGGAAAGTGAAAATATCAAGTTCAAAAACGCTACTGTCCGCTGATATAAAACACGCTCGCTCGAGCGAAGCCTTCGTCGCTCGAGCGACCGGACACAGAAAACTCTCGCTCGAGCCAAGAAGTTCTCGATCGAGCGAAGAACAAGCCAGACTGCTCGAGCGAAGGAATGCTCGCTCGAACCAAGAAAGGCAACTCTCAGGTCTAGAACCAGGCGCAATCACTCGCTCGAGCGAAGCCACCCTGGCTCGATCCACCAGACACAAACTCAACTCTCGCTCGAGCGACCAACTCCTCGCTCGAGTGAAGGTCCAAAATTCTGGGCAGCAACACTAGGCTCCCAAACACAACCAACCTGTAACAATCCTGCCCAACACATCCTATAACTCAATATACAAAGTAAAAAGGATGCAAACCAGATAATAAACAACTACCAACATCCACGGACACATGTCCGGATCACTGTACAACAAGGGTAAACCCGGGATCGCTATATTCTACACATGAAGTATTAAGACTCAAAATTAAACTTTCAATTTAAAAATAATTTTTCGTACATCGCACAGGTCACCCCGAATGTTATATAGGGTAGTAATCCATTCCACTAAAAATAGAGCTCTAAAGAGAACTCTATAAACTTAGCAATGAAAAAAAAAAACAAAACCAAAACATCACATCCCTACAATCCCTACAACTCCATTAGAATTCTTAACTTATAACTATGAAATATTTTTGTTTTATATATAATATAGATAGATAGATAAATACCTGTTGCCCCAATAATGGGGGAACCTCCACCAATTCCAGGGGAATCTCCTGCACCTCCAACATGATTATCCATATCTGATGAAATATCAAATAGTAGCATATAGTAACAATACAACTTCTAATATGAAACACTGTATTAAAGATATTTGCTAAACAGTATAAACGTTAAACCATGCACCTTTTAGATAATAACAGAATATATTAAAATTTTAAAATTTATTTCGTTACAGTGATCTATAAGGGTTTTTCTTTTTATTATTATTTCTCCTTTGTTTTTTATGGATGGGGAAACTATACAAATTGGGTAGACTACTTCAGTATAACTATACATAAGATATGTATAGATTTGATATTCTTAAAATCATTTGAAATACCAAACAACCAAGCAAAATAATATATCCCGTTTATATTATATATGGGAAAGACTATAAAAAAAAATTTCATAACCAAACATTATATGAAGTATAACCAAATATTTCAAAATAATGTCATGACTAAATAAATAAAACAAAATTGCATAATTAAGGGTGCATATGATATATAGATGTGTATTATAGAATTATCCACTATATATAGACATTCTCAATACCTCAATACAATCTCAATCTTACGTGTTTTTAAAATTAATATTGACCTCATTTAAAATTTATTTGTATTTAGTTTTCAGTTGCCAAAATTTTCTACACATGAAGTATTAAGACTCAAAATTAAACTTTCAATTTAAAAATAATTTTTCGTACATCGCACAGGTCACCCCTAATGTTATATAGGGTAGTTATCCATTCCACTAAAAATAGAGCTCTAAAGAGAACTCTATAAACTTAGCAATGAAAAAAAAAAAAGAAAACCAAAACATCACATCCCTACAATCCCTACAACTCCATTAGAATTCTTAACTTATAACTATGAAATATTTTTTTTTATATATAATATAGATAGATAGATAAATACCTGTTGCCCCAATAATGGGGAAACCTCCACCAATTCCAGGGGAATCTCCTGCACCTCCAACATGATTATCCATATCTGATGAAATATCAAATAGTAGCTTATAGTAACTATACAACTTCTAATATGAAATAATGTATTAAGGATATTTGCTAAACAATATAAACGTTAAACCATGCACCTTTTAGATAATAACAGAATATATTAAAATTTTAAAATTTATTTTGTTAAGGGGATCTATAAGGGTTTTTTTTTTTTTTTATAATTTCTCCTTCGTTTTTTATGGATGGGTAAACTATACAAATTGGGTCGACTACTTACGTATTACTATACATAAGATAGGTATATATTTGATACTCTTAAAATCATTTGAAATACCAAACAACCAAGCAAAATAATATATCTCGTTTATATTATATATGGGAAAGACTATAAAAAAAAAATTTCATAACCAATCATTATATGAAGTATAACCAAATATTTTAAAATAATGTCATGACTAAATAAATAAATAAATTGTATAATTAATGGTGCATATGATATATAGATGTGTATTAGAAAATTCTCCACTATATATAGACATTCTCAATACAGTCTCAATCTTACGTGTATTTAAAATTAATATTGACCACATTTAAAATTTATTTGTATTTAGTTTTCAATTGCTAAAATTTTCTACACATGAAGTATTAAGACTCAAAATTAAACTTTCAATTTAAAAATAATTTTTCGTATATCGCACAGGTCACCCCGAATGTTATATAGGGTAGTTATCCATTCCACTAAAAATAGAGCTCAAAAGAGAACTCTATAAACTTAGCAATGAAAAAAAAAAAACAAAACCAAAACATCACATCCCTACAATCCCTACAACTCCCTTAGAATTCTTAACTTATAACTATGAAATATTTTTTTTTATATATAATATAGATAGATAGATAAATACCTGTTGCCCCAATAATGGGGGAACCTCCACCAATTCCAGGGGAATCTCCTGCACCTCCAACATGATTATCCATATCTGATGAAATATCAAATAGTAGCATATAGTAACAATACAACTTCTAATATGAAATACTGTATTAAAGATATTTGCTAAACAATATAAACGTTAAACCATGCACCTTTTAGATAATAACAGAATATTCTTAAAATCATTTGAAATACCAAACAACCAAGCAAAATAATATATCTCATTTATATTATATATGGGAAAGGCTAAAAAAAATTTCATAACCAAACATTATATGAAGTATAACCAAATATTTCAAAATAATGTCATGACTAAATAAATAAAAAAAAATTGTATAATTAAAGGTGCATATGATATATAGATGTGTATTATAGAATTATCCACTATATATAGACATTCTCAATACAATCTCAATCTTACGTGTTTTCAAAATTAATATTGACCTCATTTAAAATTTATTTGTATTTAGTTTTCAGTTGCTAAAATTTTCTACACATGAAGTATTAAGACTCAAAATTAAACTTTTAATTTAAAAATAATTTTTCGTACATCGCACAGGTCACCCCTAATGTTATATAGGGTAGTTATCCATTCCACTAAAAATAGAGCCCTAAAGAGAACTCTATAAACTTAGCAATGAAAAAAAAGAAAAAACAAAACCAAAACATCACATCCCTACAATCCCTACAACTCCATTAGAATTCTTAACTTATAACTATGAAATATTTTTGTTTTATATATAATATAGATAGATAGATAAATACCTGTTGCCCCAATAATGGGGGAACCTCCACCAATTCCAGGGGAATCTCCTGCACCTCCAACATGATTATCCATATCTGATGAAATATCAAATAGTAGCATACAGTAACTATACAACTTCTAATATGAAATAATGTATTAAGGATATTTGCTAAACAATATAAACGTTAAACCATGCACCTTTTAGACATTAACAGAATATATTAAAATTTTAAAATTTATTTTGTTAAAGGGATCTATAAGGGTTTTTTTTTTTTTATAATTTCTCCTTCGTTTTTTATGGATGGGGAAACTATACAAATTGGGTAGACTACATAGGTATTACTATACATAAGATATGTATGTATTTGATACTCTTAAAATCATTTGAAATACCAAACAACCAAGCAAAATAATATATCTCGTTTATATTATATATGGGAAAGACTATAAAAAAAAAATTCATAACCAATCATTATATGAAGTACAACCAAATATTTTAAAATAATGTCATGACTAAATAAATAAATAAATTGTATAATTAAGGGTGCATATGATATATAGATGTGTATTAGAGAATTCTCCACTATATATAGACATTCTCAATACAGTCTCAATCTTACGTGTTTTTAAAATTAATATTGACCTCATTTAAAATTTATTTGTATTTAGTTTTCAATTGCTAAAATTTTCTACACATGAAGTATTAAGACTCAAAATTAAATTTTCAATTTAAAAATAATTTTCCGTACATCGCACAGGTCACCCCTAATGTTATATAGGGTAGTTATCCATTCCAATAAAAATAGAGCTCTAAAGAGAACTCTATAAACTTAGCAATGAAAAAAAAAAACAAAACCAAAACATCACATCCCTACAATCCCTACAACTCCATTAGAATTCTTAACATATAACTATGAAATATTTTTGTTTTATATATAATATAGATAGATAGATAAATACCTGTTGCCCCAATAATGGGGGAACCTCCACCAATTCTAGGGGAATCTCCTGCACCTCCAACATGATTATCCATATCTGATGAAATATCAAATAGTAGCATATAGTAACTATACAACTTCTAATATGAAATAATGTATTAAGGATATTTGCTAAACAATATAAACGTTAAACCATGCACCTTTTAGATAATAACAGAATGTATTAAAATTTTAAAATTTATTTTGTTACAGGGATATATAAGGGTTTTTTTTTTTTTATAATTTGTCCTTTGTTTTTTATGGATGGGAAACTATACAAATTGGGTAGACTACTTAAGTATAACTATACATAAGATATGTATATATTTGATATTCTTAAAATCATTTGAAATACCAAACAACCAAGCAAAGTAATATATCTCGTTTATATTATATATGGGAAAGACTATAAAAAAAATTTCATAACCAAACATTATATGAAGTATAACCAAATATTTCAAAAATAATGTCATGACTAAATAAATAAATAAATTGTATAATTATGGGTGCATATGATATATAGATGTGTATTAGAGAATTCTCCATTATATATAGACATTCTCAATACAGTCTCAATCTTACGTGTTTTTAAAATTAATATTGACCTCATTTAAAATTTATTTGTATTTAGTTTTCAATTGCTAAAATTTTCTACACATGAAGTATTAAGACTCAAAATTAAACTTTCAATTTAAAAATAATTTTTCGTACATCGCACAGGTCACCCCTAATGTTATATAGGGTAGTTATCCATTCCACTAAAAATAGAGCTCTAAAGAGAACTCTATAAACTTAGCAATGAAAAAAAAAAAAAAACAAAACCAAAACATCACATCCCTACAATCCCTGCAACTCCATTAGAATTCTTAACTTATAACTATGAAATATTTTTGTTTTATATATAATATAGATAGATAGATAAATACATGTCGCCCCAATAATGGGGGAACCTCCACCAATTCCAGGGGAATCTCTTGCACCTCCAACATGATTATCCATATCTGATGAAATATCAAATAGTAGCATATAGTAACTATACAACTTCTAATATGAAATATTGTACTAAGGATATTTGCTAAACAATATAAACGCTAAACCATGCACCTTTTAGATAATCACATAATATATTAAAATTTTAAAATTTATTTTGTTACTGGGATCTGTAAGGGTTTTTTTTTTTATAATTTCTCCTTTGTTTTTTATGGATGGGGAAACTATACAAATTGGGTAGACTACTTAGGTATAACTACACATAAGATATGTATATATTTGATATTCTTAAAATCATTTGAAATACCAAACAACCAAGCAAAATAATATATCTCATTTATATTATATATGGGAAAGGCTAAAAAAAATTTCATAACCAAACATTATATGAAGTATAACCAAATATTTCAAAATAATGTCATGACTGAATAAATAAAAAAAAAATTGTGTAATTAAGGGTGCATATGATATATAGATGTGTATTATAGAATTCTCCATTATATATAGACATTGTCAATATAGTCTCAATCTTACGTGTTTTTAAAATTAATATTGACCTCATTTAAAATTTATTTGTATTTAGTTTTCAATTGCTAAAATTTTCTACACATGAAGTATTATGACTCAAAATTAAATTTTAAATTTAAAAATAATTTTTCGTACATCGCACAGGTCACCCCTAATGTTATATAGGGTAGTTATTCATCCCACTAAAAATAGAGCTCTAAAGAGAACTCTATAAACTTAGCAATGAAAAAAAAAAAAAAACAAAACAAAACATCACATCCCTACAATCCCTACAACTCCATTAGAATTCTTAACTTATAACTCCGAAATATTTTTGTTTTATATATAATATAGATAGATAGATAAATACCTGTTGCCCCAATAATGGGGCAACCTCCACCAATTCCAGGGGAATCTCCTGCACCTCCAACATGATTATCCATATCTAATGAAATATCAAAAAGTAGCATATAGTAACTATATAACTTCTAATATGAAATAATGTATTAAGGATATTTGCTAAACAATATAAATGCTAAACCATGCACCTTTTAGATAATAACGTAATATATTAAAATTTTAAAATTTATTTTGTTACAGGGATCTATAAGGGTTTTTTTTTTTTTTTTTGTTATAATTTCTCCTTTGTTTTTTATGGATGGGGAAACTATACAAATTGGGTAGACTACTTAGGTATAACTATACATAAGATATGTATATATTTGATATTCTTAAAATCATTTGAAATACCAAACAACCAAGCAAAATAATATATCTCGTTTATATTATATATGGGAAAGACTAAAAAAAATTTCATAACCAAACATTATATGAAGTATAACCAAATATTTCAAAATAATGTCATGACTAAAGGAATAAAAAAAATTTATAATTAAGGGTGCATATGATATATAGATGTGTATTATAGAATTCTCCATTATATATAGACATTCTCAATACACTTTCAATCTTACGTGTTTTTAAAATTAATATTGACCTCATTTAAAATTTATTTGTATTTAGTTTTCAATTGCTAAAATTTTCTACTCATGAGGTATTAAGAATCAAAATTAAATTTTCATTTTAAAAATAATTTTTCGTACATCGCACACGTCACTTACTAATTTTATATAGGGTAGTTATTCATCCCCCTAAAAATAGAGCTCTAAAGAGAGCTCTATACACTTAGCAATGTAAAAAAAAAAAAAAAACCAAAGTATCACATCCCTACTATCCCTACAACTCCATTAGAATTCTTAATTTAAAACTCTGAAATATTTTTGTTTTATATATAATACAAATAGATGGATAAATACCTATTGCCGCAATAATGGGGGAACCTCTACCAACTCTAGGGGAATCGCCTGCACCTCCAACATGATTATCCATATCTGATGAAATATCAAATAGTAGCATATAGTAACTATACAATTTCTAACATGAAATAATGTATTAAGGATATTTGCTAAACAATATAAATGTTAAACCATGCACCTTTTAGATAATAACAGAAACTATATGTGGATGTCCCCGAACACCCCAGGAGGATGAGTCCCGTTCTGTTCATTGGGCTCGCTACAGTTCAGGACTCAAAAGTCACAGTCCTGTATCTAATCTCGCGGAGTGCAATGCAAGACCGATGAATCATCAAAGAGTCCAAACCCGGCAAATCGTTTTTGAAAACAGATTTTTTTTTAATGAAGTGCCAAACATGGACTGCTTTCCCAGATACAAAGTCGTCACCTAAATATTTTTTTTTGGGAGAATTTAGGAAACCCTGACTCGTTGCCTAAGGCCACATGTCCGTCATCACCAAAGTTGCCTCGGCTCGGGAACTTGGGTACGATTGGGGAAGGTCACTTCGTGAGCACCCTCGCTCGCCCGATCAAAGATTGGCCTCTACTAACCATGATATCTAGTTTTGAAAACATTATGCGTTCTTATTCCGGTTATTAGCCTAGATTCACTATGTGATGTGCACAGCATGTAAGTATAGACTGGATCGCCTGAATTGGAACAAAACATTTCATGCTTGTTTATTTGAAAATGGTTTGCTACTCGCAAGTAGGCTTAAAATGCGGATTTTTCCACACTCGGGTGGGCTTAGAAAAACATGATTTTGCCACTATCTAGTAGGCTTAAAACTCACAATCAATGCATTATTCCAATTCAAATAATCTAACCTTCACCCACAAGCATTCAGGCAGATATATCACATAAGCAGTTAGCCTCATGGTAAGCATGCTATCATGGCAGTCACTCACACACATGCAAGGATGCTAAAGCATAAATACTTATCGAGTACTCCAAGCCAAAACAGAAGCTATGTTAGAAATCCATGCATGACCCTAACTATACAGAAATGCCTAATGCAACACATGCAAAAATGTGACTACAATAGGCTCGGCTATTCTAAGATGGCATATGATGATGCTACAGCTAACATGTATTCAACTCGAAATTGAAGTACAATGCAGTTAGTATGATGCTCCGAGCCCGGTGCATACAAAACAGATGAATGGATGCAAACATGCTATCATACTGTATGCTAATTGAAACATGCCCTAATCTAACCATCATAAGTTGGTAAATAAAAGGGAGAAAGACGTGGGGTTAGAAGACATACATCACACACACGCACACTTATTACAGTTGTGCCCTCGCTTGGAGGGTCCGAATAAATAATATGCAGTCCGAATGAATAGTACAGTCCGAATAAATACAAAATCCTAATTAATTAACAAATTAATCTAGGAAAGCAGGGAATTAGCATGCAAGCTATGGACCGCCTCGGCTCTGTTCCGAATGATGAATGATGCATGCTTGGGTTGCCTTTGTCGAGAAATTCCTTGCGATGTCCCGGTTTGCCTCTGTTTGTAATTAATCCCGGGATGTTGTGCGAAGCTCTAGAAGGCTGCTAATTTCTGGTTTGCTGCAACAGAGAGCAAGAAGGGGGCATGGCAAAGTATTTTCACATATGTATGCATGCCTCGATCCTCGTGCCACCAATCACGCATATCGATGCATGATGGCCGAGGAGTCGAATTGCACGACTCAATGTGAAATTAATGCACATGAAAACACAACAAGACCTAAACTCCATCATGGGTAATCCGGAGTGTCGGCGATAGGGAATTGAGACACGTTCCGTCACTCGGAGTGCGAAACGTACCTCGTTTTCCGTGCTTGGGCTAACTCCTATCCCAAACACGATGCAAATGAGATGGCATACACAATGCGACTAACATACAACCTAGCATACGCAACGCTATGAAATGACATACACAAATGCTCGATGTAACATGGCATATGCAATGCTCTAACATGCAACCTAGCATGCGCAATGCTATGAATTGAAATGGCATACACAATGCACAATGGACTTACACCAA